TTAAGACTCTCCACTGAAGATAAATCAAGTACAAATAAAGTTGTGAATAAATTTTTCTTTAGAAATCTCATTTGTCCAGGATAAACAGGTCTAAGGATCTAATAAACATTATATTAATATAATTTTTATTATATTATATTTATTTATTTATTTATTAGTCTACCTCAAATATTTTAGATGGCCAATGTTCATATTTTTCGTCTTTTTCAAAATCGTTGAACCAAACAATTAAATTTGAATTTTTTGACTGATCTCTAACATCAAACAATCCTTTTGTGACATCTAAAGATGTTTTAGATTCTGATTTACTTTGCAAAGTCAACAGTTCAATTGATACACCAGGACTTAATCCAATATTTAACAATGATGAAATAATATTTTTTTCACGTTGTAATAATTTTAATATACTACAAATAATAATAACAATGTCAATGTTAATATAAATTATTTAATTAGTAAATAGGGAAGGGAAATTAACCAATTAATAATTTATGTAGTTACCTGAATGGATTAATATTATTATGATCTAAAATCAATCCATTTAACCATAAAATGTTATTTTCATTAGTAATATAATGTTGATTTAATGATACTTCTTTTACAATTGATGTATTTAATGTTAATTGCGAAATGGAATATGAATATTTTGGAAAATCTTGGGATAATTTTATTAGTGATGATAATTGGTTATTTGAATCTAAAATAAACTGCGCCGATTTAAATAGATATATAATTTAGATTTAGACTTGGATCTAGATTTAGATTTCGATTGACCAATTTTTGACTGATCAAATGATTAATTCACCTTTGATTTCACTTGATTTCAATGGCACAATTTCAGAAATTTCTTCACTAAATAAATTATCATTCAATTTATCTTCGATCTTATTATCTTCAATATTGCTATTATCATCTTCTAATAAAATTTAGAAATATTAATCAAATATATTATCAATATTAATTCATCAAATGCATTAAATATATTCAATATATTTACCTGAATTTATGTTTCTATCATCGAGTACAATGTAATCAGTTT